TGGCCTGCATAATTGTTTTTTAAATGTTAAATAGTCATTATCCCAAGCCTAAACAATAGTTGATTTCTGAGCATTATAGAATTGGGTTCTTCCTAATTAATCAGTATATATGTGGTTTTCAGCATTCATCTGTGAACTTTTTATTTGTATTTAAAGTAGTCTCTTGGTTATTTTTCCTTTGTACTGTAGCAATTGTTACAATAAGATGTCAGTGAAGTCGAGAATTGGTTAGTATTGAGAGAAGGGGGAAAGTGTTTGATGGCTCTAACCAAAGGTGATGACGTCTTGGATTCAGTTAGTTGATGAGCCACTGCATATTATCCCAGGGTTCCTATGTTTTGACTTTCTGAGATGTTCCCTGATTCTTATCACCCAAAATATTCTCTAGGCTCTCATAGTAAAAGCATAATAGCTAGCTGTTACAACTGTGCTGAGACAGGTTAAATATCTATTTTTGCTTTTATCTTGGTGTTTAAAACAAATACATCATGAGGTACCGAGGCTGCACCTGCGTTGAAACTACCCTCAATAACCCAAGGGATTGAAAGTACTGCCTGCAGGAAGAATTTCTTTCCTTTGGGCTACAGTGTTCATTTTATACCAAGGGAGCAGCTTTTTATTTCTTAAGTCAGGATTCTCAGTTTTTTTTTTATTTTTTGAGACAGAGTCTCACTCTTTTTGCCCAAGCTAGAGTGCCGTGGCGTCAGCCTAGCTCACAGCAACCTTAAACTCCTGGGCTCGAGCGATCCTCCCGCCTCGGCCTCCCAGAGTGCTAAGATTACAGGCGTGAGCCACCACGCCCGGCCAGGATTCTCAGTTCTTAATTCTGAAATTCATTTTCAAATATTCTAACCATGGACTTATAAAACACTGTCTCTGGTATTCCTGTGTATAGCTACTAAAGTATTAATAATTTCACTTATTTAGCAAATACCCGGTAAGCATGTGATTTCAGTCGGTCACTGGCATACAGGGTTGTAGTGGTGAACAAAATACGTAGGCCTTACCCTCAAGTTAGTTACGGCCTAATGAGAGAAACAGACATAATTGATGAATCACACAGGTAATTGTGTTGTTAAAACTTATCAGGGCTGTGAAGGACAGGTGCAGGATGCCATGAGAACATAAAACAGAATCCAGTCTAGTCACGGCAGTATGTGGGGTATCAGGGAAGGGTTCCCTGAAGTTTGTGAGGAAGTTCATCTGAAAATGTAGAAAACGAAAGGGAGCTTTCTGTCCCGGGAATTGAACAAAGGCTGGTTTAATAGAAACCTAGAGAGTGTGGGATCGGTGAGAGAACAGGTGCATGGTTCGAGGGGGCAGGCTGATGCTAAATCATGCCGGGCCTTAAAGGCCTTGTTTTAGGGATTTGGATCTTTTTCCTGAGAGCAGGGGCAAGTCATCTAAAGGTTTGTGCAGGGCATGTGGAGAAGGGAAGTGATGTGATCAGATTGTCGTTTTGGAAGAGTCACTCTGCTGTTACATGGAGAGGAGTATTTCAGTTGGTGTAGGTGAGAGGATGTTAACTTGATGAGACGATACTGACTTTAAGCAGTGACGATGGAGATGGAGCTAACTGAGTATTTAGGAAAGGAAAGTAACAATTGAATGACAATTTTGGAGATAACATTTTATCATACTTAAATGAAATTTCTGTTAAAAAAATCTGTTGTATTTTTTGTGCTAAAAATAGGTGGTTTTAAAGCGACCATTAATTATTGTCAGTAGTAATAACCTTGCCTTAAAAAGTAGCTGCCTATTTCTTACTCTCTCCTATTAGTGACCAAGAATTTAAGTGAGAAGAGGTCAGCCAAAGCATCGGAAATGTCTCCAGTGCCTGTGAGGTCCACTGGCCAGACAGCGAAGGCCCACTTGCATCAGCCCCACAGAGTAAGCCAGGTGCTTCAAGTGCCAGCGGTTAACTTGCACCCCGTCAGGAAGAAGGGACAAGCAAAAGACCCTGCACTGAGTGAGTATTCACAATTAATATTACATTCATTTAATTGAAATGTCCAGGGGAGTTAGAATGAAAAATAATTATAGATGCTCAGGAGATCAGCTGTTATAGGTTGTGTAATGTAATCACTTCATGCATCAAAACATGTTTCATTTTGCCTGTAGGTATTTGATGACAGCATGCATGTTTTAAATGCTGACATTGGCATTCCCGTAATGCTGAAATCTGTTGATAAACAAAAAATTTAGAGCAATACATCTTGGGTCCCAAGGGCTTACTGTATTCAAAGGTGTGTTTAATCAAATATCTAATGCAGATGCAACCTACAAAAACTATGCAAATGAAGTTGATTATTCTAAAAAATGACTATACATTATTTTTTTTAATTAATGACCCCTTCTGAAAACCTAATTAGGAAACAAGAATAGAGTGTGAAGTATATAAAGTATAGACCAGTCTTTTTTTTTTCCCCTGTTAAGCCATGTAGACGTTATCTATATTACTTTTATTTTTTGTTTTGACGGTATCACTATTTTAGCTTTTAGATGGGAAGCTATATTAGATTTGATTCTTAACATTATTTCTTAGGCCATGCATTCATTATACATAGTACATATGCAGTAGAACTTTGTGAATTTAATTTGATTTCATTTGAGATACAAAGCTGAATAAGAAATGCCCCCTACTTTGCCACATTTTCATTCTGGTAATACACTTACACAAACAGATAACTTCAGTATAATGTGTTTATTGTTATGCCAGGAGTCTGTACAGAACATATGAAAGAACAACACAAGAGAAGCTTTTAGCTAGGCAGAGGTAAGGTGGGCCTTTGGAAGAAAGCTTTTTGGAAATAACACCTAAGCAAATCTTAGGTAGATGAAGACGGAGATAATTAGGCAAAGGCTACAGAGAAGTTGCTTCAGGCAGAAGAAACAGCAAAGAACTAAAAGCATTTTACTGACTCTGAGTGCAAATGTATGCAGAGTGTTGACAGACAATAATAATTAAAGCTAATGCTTAGAGAGTATGTACCGAGTGCTAGACCCAGTTCAAAGTGCTTTTACTACTTTATATATTAATTTAGTCTTCATAATGACCGTATAAGATAGGTAGTATTTTGCCCTCATTCTGCAAAGGAAACAAGAGAGTCTCAGTAACACACACTACCAGTGAGTAGTGGAGCCGGGAGTTGAGCCCAGACTGGCTCTAAAGGCCTGTACTAACCACTGTACTAAACAGCCTTCCAGGAAGACAAGTGAAGTCCTAAGTGTGCCAAAACTACGATGTGTGTGCCAAAGGACAGTCATCAGTGGGGGGCCATGGAGTAGATTTGAACTAGGGAAGCTTCTGATTCAAATTGTGTTTGAGAATAAGGACTATAGTGGGGAGCACAGCAAGACTGGAGGCAGAGAGCCAGGTGGAAGTGCTCCAGACCTGGACTAGTTCAGTGGCTATGAAAATGAAGAGAGAACTGGATGCAAAATTGGCGAAGTTGGTAAATTTGTTGATAGGTGTGAGAAACAAGTTTAGCTCTGATTTCTTTCTTGGGTGTTAACACTTAAGAGGCAATATTGTACCAGGTAGCTTTCCTCCCTCCCGTTGTAATATGACTATTATTTATATAGTAACTATATTTACATATAAATGGCATTTAATGAAGGGTAGTGTGAGTCTACTGTGATTTAAATTTTTGCATTGTCAAAAGGTTACTTGTTATTATGCCAAATCCTCACAGGGTCGTGCTTTAATTGTTAAGAACAGTGTCAGTAGCTCCTTGACATTTCTTAGAGAAGCTGTAAAAACATTCGTATGTAGAAAACATCACGAAGTTAGACCTACACTACACAAAACCAGCTGTTGGACAAGGGTAATGATAGAACTTTGCTGGAATGTTTCCAGTGGGCTCCGTACTATTTTCCTATAAATTCATGATTCTTGCTGTTGTTTACTTCTCTCCTATAGTGTGAATTTAGTGCTCTTGAGAAGGGCTGGACTGGCAGCCCTGCAGCCTCTTCTGTGTGCCCACAGCACAGATGCAGCACGGGCAGTGACAGTGCCAACGTGCCACACGCCCCACCCTGACACGGAGGCCACCTCTAGAGGGGAGGGAAGAGTTCGCATCCACGTCTTCTCTTTTGAGATTTGAAACAAGCGCGTCAATCGTAGGGGTGGGGCACTGCACTCAGACTGTTAAATTGATTTCCCTTTTACCGCAAAACAAACTGTTTACAGTCTGGTCCGTGCTGACCGACTGAATCTGAACGAGCAGCCTAGAGGTGAGAGTCTCTGTGCCGTCACCCAGTCACTTGGTCCCTGTTGTCACTCACACATCCCACTGACTGCGCTCACCACTGTGCGTCACAGCCTCAGCCGCGCAGCGAGTTAGGCAACTAGACAGTCTGACTGTGCAGTGATGTTTATTCGCGTCTGTGGTTTTATTCTTAGGTACAAGTTTACCTCAGAAAGTTTTAGGAACAACTGAAGAAATAAGTGGTAAGAAACACACAGAAGACACTATTTCTGTGGCATCGTCCTTACACTCTAGTCCTCCTGCATCTCCTCAAGGTTCCCCTCGGAAAGGTAAGACAGAGAATTTCAAGATAGTTCTTGTTGGGCTAAACAACACTTTTTAGCACATATTTACCCTTCGGTCTGTAGCAATAATGGAAAGCATGAAGAAGAGTGTAACTCCTAGTGCTTACTTTTTGAATTTCGTGTTCTGTACTGTTCAGTGGTTTTCAGAGATTGTGCGTCATGTCGCTGGGACTCCAGTGTTCCCTGGGCAGCCCTGCCTGTCTTCGACAGAGGGCAAACGTGGATAAGGACGAAGGCAGAAGTCACAGTTGTTGCGGTGCACACTCTTGATGTCGTTGCTCCTACTTCCTATATTTGTACATTTCTGTGGAGTGTGTGCAAATAGAAATTTCTGTAAGAAATTCTTTTTAACCAGCTACAAGATTTAGGAAAAGAAACATATGTAGGTTGATAGGTTGATGCTTCCCTTTTTTTAGTAATAGAGTATTACCTTTTTATTAATCAGGATTTAAAATAACCTGTACCCTTAAGGATTTATGTTTTCATAATTCAGACTGAAGCTTTTCTTTTCCTGGCTGGCCTGGGAAGTGTCTGTGTAGATGCCATTTAATGTCAGCTGCACAAGCAGCATTCTAAATAGGGTGCGTGTTTTTCACGTTGGCCCCTCCACGCTCCGTGTGTACCCTGGGGGAAAAGGCTACTTTGTCTTGGGAGCATGTCCCCAGGTGTAAAAGAATTACATCTTCAGATAATCACAGCACTGGATGGTACATGGTCAGAGGGGAGACAAGCTTGTGAATTCTAAGAGCGGAAAGAAGCTTCCATAGTTTGCTTCAACTCCCACGTTCTCACTTTAATCCCACTGTGCAGAGCTCTTTTTTGTTTTTGCCACCTATGTGGCAGTGACATACAGTGGTGGTAGACCTGAGTTTGAATTCCGATTCTATACCCGGCTGTAGCTGAATGACTACAAGTAACTTATTTACAAGGTCAGGTTTCCTGTCTGTAAGAGGGCGAAAGACCATCCAGGGCCAGGCATGGTGGCTCATGCCTATAATCCCAGCACTTTGGGAGGCTGAGGCAGCAGGGTCCCTTAAGGTGAGGAGTTCAAGGCCAGCCTTGGCAACATAGTGTGAAACCCTATCTTCTACAAAAAAATCTTTTAAAATTAGCTGGCCATGGTGGCGTGTGCCTATAATCCTAGCTACTCAGGAGACTGAGGCGAGAGGATTGCTTGAGCAGAGGAATTCAAGGCTGCAGTGAGCTATGGTCACACCACTGCAGTCCGGCCTGGGCAATAGACAAGACCCAGTCTCTAAAAGAAAGAAATAAGTTAATAATTTTTTTAAAGGACCATCTATTTTAGGAGCCTCATATAAGGTTTAAATGAAATAATATTTATAAAACCTGCTACATGGTAAACGTTTAGTAAATTGAAGTGTCTCCTCTGTTTCCCTGCTGCCACCCAGGGCGCCAGAGCTCCATTACTCACCTGCCCTTTTCATCCTTACATAGCTGAGACTGGGTAAAATTTTCATTCAGATTTTACTAAGAAAAGCTTAATAAAAATCAAATAGGGCATATAAATAGTATATATTGTAGGAGTATTTAAAAAGCACAGGTTTCTGATCATTTTGTAGCTCATATATAATTTTGTGAGGCACACAGACTTGTTTCCTCTTCTTGTCTGTGTCGTCCTATCCAAAGTGCCCTCCGTCAGATCAGGGACAGGCAGCAGTGCCTCCAGCCTGACAGACGGGCCCAGTGATCAGTGTCCACGTGCTCTTAACTCTCTTCCAGGAAAAGCCTTACACTCCTCACCCCTTTGGGAGGCTGTTCGGAGGTTCATCGCATTCTAGACAATTCTCTAACCAGGCAACTAGTTGGATCTGATTTGGTGTTTTATACCTGAATGTGCCTTGTGGGAAGAGCTATTAAGGGACAGGACTTCCTCCATTGCTCTTATTCCCAACAGAAAATCCACACTCGTCACTGGAACAGAGAAGTCTTTTCTCCATTGTGTCTTTCATTGTGTAGCCAACAATTGACCATCATGTTTATAGATTTGTGAGCTTTTCGTAGTAATGTTTAGAATCCTTAGAAGCCTAAAGAAATTCTTCTCTTCAAAACTGTTTCAAATTGTTCTTGCAGATGTTCTATCAAATCCTCAACCAAATATGATATTTGTATTCCCATAGACAGGTTTTTGCCAGTAGTCTGTGACTAAACAAAAATTTTATCATTACACTTAAGAGTTTGTTATTAAGATCTGTTCCTAGTTCTCGTTTAACTTTGGGGTTAGTTCTTTGTTTTCTAATGATTAAGAAAATAAGCCTATCTTCATATTTTTCACAAGGAGAATTTAAATAAATAAGAACTTTGAAAAAGCGAGAAGTCAAGACACCTTAAGCATTGTCTTTCCCAATGTTTAAGAAAAGCAGCCTCCTCCACCCTGGAAGTACAACAGGATCAGAAATTATAGTTTATAATTACACCTATTATATATATTATTTGTATGTCCTATTTGATTTTTTTTTAATAAAAATCTGCTTTAAAATTCTTAACATACAGAGTTACTTTTGAGAAATAATTCTGGTTACCTGATATTTTTGTCATATTTTTCCTTGTGACTTTACCAGCTTGGCTTACTTTCAATAATTTTTTATCACCAACTTCTTTTATCAAGGTAATCTTTCTCCTGCCTTCTGTCTTGCAATGACTTGATGTGTTTATACTATATAATAGATTTTCCATGCATTAAAAAAATGTGTTGCTAGATTTAATTTTTCAGATTTTATCAAGATGTTAGAATTTTTTAATAGTGAAATGTTATATAAACCAAGCTAATTGTGATTAATTGGAAAGAATTAATTGACCATGTCAGGGTTTTTGCATTTCTCCCTCCAGTTGGCAGTATCATATCTGATCACAGCATCCTGCTGCGCCTCTCAGGGTCTTCCTCATCCCCTCCCCGTGAGTCCAGCACCAAGATCAGTGGCCAGAGCTGCCCCGGAATAGGTGGGGTTTACTTGCAAAAGAAAATCCTTCAGATTACCAGGAGCACAGCCAAAAGAACAGACAGGACCGAGAAGGCCACTGAGGAGAATAGAGACAGGCCAAGTTGTGAGAACACAACCAGAAAAAGAATGCCATCCCCGTTTAGAAGATTTAGGGAAAGAACTCTTTCAAGGGAGAGACTAGTCAACAGCAAAAAAGAGGACACAGATCACAATCAAGCTGCAGAAAGCTGTGAGAAAGTGAAGGATGTTGGAAGCAACATCAGAGATGAGAAAGGGAACGCCATCTTCAATTCAAATAGCCAAGGCAGCAGTAACGCTCTAAACTGCTTCTGTACGCGATTGAAGTCTAAAAGGAGGAAGACACTCTGATGAAGTTCCTTATTTAATTTTAGTGTTAAGTTTGTTTTTAGTTATTGATGTAAATGTAGCTTAAATTAAGCCATTTGTCAAAGCTAAGGCAGACAACTTAGTAAAATACTATTTATAAGCATTTTATGTTTAATATTACAGATCCTCTAGCAACAAAGTCATATTGATTTAAAGTGCCTATTTTGTACATACGTTATTTTACTAATGTATTGAGTTAGTAAACTTTATACTCTTATTCTCTGTAGTTTGCTTTATTTCCTACTCATAGCAGTTGGGTCTGTGAGTGAAGTAAGTAGAGGAGGTTGTTTAGGAAACCAGCCTTCACGTTCACCATAAAAGCCCCAGTGATGATCTGATCAGAACCTTCCCTTCAGAGAATTCTGTTGCTGTCTTAGTACTTCAGCTGTTCTATAAGCTAAAGGAAAGAGAAGTGTTTGGGAGACAAGAAACTGAACCTTGTCCACCTACGCTTTTTATATCGTTCACTTTTCACATCCCTTTGATTGAGGAGGAGCCAGTCTAACATAGCAGGTTAAATATTATGTGGGAAACTGGTTAAAAAGTGCAGTTTACTGGGTCCCACCCCAGACCTTATAAATTTGAATTGCCAGAAGTGGGACCAGGAATGTACATTTTAATTTGCCAGGTGATTCTTAGGTTATATTTGAGAAATGCTGATCTGAGAGACGTAAGGATTAAATTATTTTTAAAACAGAAGCAAGTCTATTCCATAAAATAAAAGAACAATGATTTTTTTTTCTTTTGAGGAAGAAAGGTTTTTTATTTATTTATTTTTAACATATTTACCGTTTCCCTTTTCCTGGTCCCTGTTGAGTGTTGACTGATCAGCTCGCGGGCACTCATGAGTAGCAGCAATTTCAAGTGCAGAGATGTGTGGTAGGGGTCAGGAGAGTGGCTTGGTTGGCTTACCCTGCTCCTGGCCCCTTAAGCCAAGTATAAATCACACATTTTCTGGGTCTTACTTTTTCTCTTTGAAATAGTTGGTAAAAGCAATAAGGCTATTGTACAATAAATGTTTTCTTTAATGACTTGAGTTATATGTGATTAAACTCCCAAGATCCTTAAAGCAGAGAAGCTTACAGTGTTGTCTTCCTCTTCGTGCATGAGGAGGCTGAGGCCGCGAGAATTCCAGTAACACACACAAAGCCTCTAGTTCTTCTTAATTAGATTTTGAGGGATTCGTCCAAAGGTCATGTACCTGTTGAAACTTACTCTGCTGTGAACAAGAGGATGCTGTTTTCTTCTTTGAGACCTACCCTTTGTTTGGATTACTGGGGCATTTTCTTTCTAAACAAAAGTTTTGTTTCTTCCAATTATCAAAATTGACTATTATGTACATTAACCATCATGCCGCAGATTTATTTTTGGATCCTTCACCTCACTCCATCCCTGCCCCTTTGTGCCAAAGAATACAGAAGAAAATCTCTCTAGCTATCTGCTGTGCAGTAAGTCATAGAACAATTTAAAACATTTAGATGTTGTTTTCATAACACATTCTTATAGATCTGTCAGTTCAGCTATTTAATATTCTTTGAAGTTGGTGAATAAAAAGTGGGTATAAGATTAAGTCCAAATCTAAAATACTTTATTTTAAAATACTAAAACAGAGGCACAATGACTCATGCCTGTAATCCTGGCATTTTGGGAGGCTGAGTCAGGAGGATCGCTTGAGGCCAGGAGATCAAGGCTGCAGTGAGCTATGATCGTGCCACTGCACCCCAGCCTGGGCAACAGAGCTGAGACCCTGTCTGGAAAAAAAAAACAAAAAAAACCGCAAAACAATCATTCTCAACTCAGGGCAAGACTTCTTAGGTGCCATAAGCAGAATATCTGGGGTAAGTATATTAGTTTGAAAAAGCAAACACACAGTTCTTTCCCTTGAGTCCTGAATCCCATCCCCACCTCTACCTCAAGGTGGTATTTTAGATTTGGGTCACGTCATGAAATATTTATGTTAAAGGAGGGGGCGTAGAGTTAAAAAGAAGTTGAGAAACTCTTAGACATCTACTTTTTAATGTCTATATTTAGAGCTTTCTTGTTTTATTAAATGTTAGCTGTGCAAGAGCCTGGGGACAAATGTACCTCTAGACTAGTTTTCTCAGTAATACTGGATTTTGACTATCTTTTTTTTTTTTTTAATTTGGAGTTGGATTGGCATGGTGTGGGTCGATAGGTGAACGGATATGTAGAAGAATATGTGGAGAAAATTGGCACCATTATATCTACATAAAGGGGAACTGAGATTGCTAATAACTTTTGTCCCGTGTTATTTTTATGGGGTTTTTAAAAATCATTTCCCTGACTGTCCTACCACCTGTTCCCTCGTTTTGTAGTTTGATCAGTGTTCTTTTCCCGTTCAGGTTATACACTTACACCATCAGCTAAATCTGACAACCTGTCTGACTCCAGCCACAGCGAGATTTCCTCCCGGTCCAGCATCGTGAGCAACTGTTCTGTGGACTCCATGTCTGCGGCTCTGCAGGACGAGCGGTGCTCCTCCCAGGCCCTGGCAGCACCGGAGTCCAGCGGGGCGTTGGAAAAGACAGAGCTCTCCCCAGGGATGGGAGACCACGGCCAGCTTGGCCCTGGGTAAAGATCCTTATCTGTGCTCATACCACAAACCCAAGCCAAGGGGCTGCTGAAAACAGTGCTCCCCAGCTGGGCCTTGGAACCCCGTGGGGGAGTTGGAAGGGGGTCCATAAAAGAATATGAGGGGTGTGCTTGTATACTCTATGCCGAATATTTAAATAAGTACTATTATGGGGGGAGTCCCTACTGTATATGGGGACTCATTTTTAAAGTGTTATTCAAGTAACTTTCTATCATTATGTATCTTTCCAATCAGTAATTCATAGGGCACCTGCTGTCAATATAGGGAGGTGGTTCTTGAAATTTGGCAGTCAGGTTAGAGGCTGCGCGAAGAGGTTACGTGAGGGGAAGTCCTGCCAGTGCCGTCCACGTTGTAGACAGGCTGGGAGAGCAGGGCCAGCCCTGGGTCCTTGTTCTCTGAAAGTGTCACCTGGGGAGTAAGAGTCATCAGCTAACAAAGATTAATTCTTTAACAATTTTCAAGTTTCTATTTTAAATCAAGCAAAATAGAAATCATTGAGAAAGTTGATTCTATACTGCTATATATTATTCCACCTAGTCTACTTTAATATGAAAAGTTTAAGATATATTAGTGAAGTATTATATTTGTAAAGGTTTCTAAACTACGATTCTCTAGACCAAAGGTCAGTAAACTTTTTCTGTGAAAGTTACATAGTAAATGCTTCAGACTTCATAGGCCGTGAGGTCTCTGTCGCAACTACTCAGCATTGTCACGCCAGAACAGCCGTAGACAACACATGAACACGGAGGCCTGGCTGTGTCCCAGGCAAAGCTTTGTTGATGAAAACGGGCAGAGGACTGACCAGACTTGGCTGTGGGCTACACTTTGCTAACCTCTGCTCTGTACTGTGAATTCAAGGATTTACAAAGTTTGTTTGCCAAAGGCCAGATATTTTAGTGTTTGCAGGCTGCATATGGTCTCTGTCACAAATACTTTGGGTTTTTTTTTTTTTTTTT